GAATTTTTAAAATCTATGTTAAATTTCTTGAATGATGGCAAGACTGTTCAAGAATTTTTAAATATTTTAGCATAAAATCTGCTTTATGGACCATCGCAAGATCATGGGAGGATTTGTCTCTAGATACTTTAAAAACTGCTTCATAATTTATGGCCAGATAGTATATTTCATTGTGAGGATGATGAAGATGATAGCCGCGAATGTGAAGGTTTCCAGGTATCGCAAACAAAAGATTAAATTTTCCAATTAATGAATTGTTTTAAAGAAATGTGAAGAAGCAGTGATAGATGAAGTTCATATAACAGAGGTTTTTCATTGCAATGACAATGCTTCAATTATCAATAAATTAACCGGTGGCGAAATCTGTGGTATGGTTCTAGATCCAGAAACTGTGGCTACCGATAGTGAAGAAAGTGGCAGAGAAGTTATTGAAAATGAAAAATTTCGATTGACAAGTTAGTCGAAATTCTTCACATAGCAATTAGAAAAAAAGAACTTTGTAATTGAAATAAGAAATTATTTCCGTCTTCAGAATTAAAGAGAAAATATTAGCACAAAAAAGCAACTTGAACAACTTACATTGAAAGAAATGTTTAATAAAGTAAACAAACAAATGTTAAGCCTTTTTTTTTTTTTTTTTTTTTGTAAATTTTGTTATCCTTTAGGTCATAAATGCTTCATTATTTCATAAATCACAAATTCATATTTTTAATTTTTTAATTTCTACATGCCATCTTTAAAGTTTTAAACTGGTCATCTAATTTCTGGAAAAATCCGGAATCGCTGAAGCCCTGATGAGAGAGAGTCCGGATCTTGACGAGGGAGAAAGCGGTCTCTCTGATGCAAAATGGTGCGAGTTTTCTATTTATAGAAGCGGTTACATAATAGACTGGAATGTTCTTGAAAGTACTGGTCTAGGAGGAAAAATCCTGAAATTGCGGAAAGTTAATTAGAGGTTACTTGTTACCATAGAGCAAAGCCGTCCTATTTTTTGTATTTTACTTCTCCCATTCCCCCTCAAAAACAAGAGGCCAGGCGAGCAAGGCATTTAGTACATTAGTGAAGCACGAAGTATGAAGAAAGACACGAGGAAAAATCATCCAGGACATAGCTTATAGGCTTTAACTATGCTCTATCATAAGTCATGATCTTTCTCATATAATTAGAATTTTTTTTAATTATATAACTATGATTTATAAATAAATATATAATCTATAGCTAAATTTAGAACTATAAGACAGTAAATATATGGAAGAATAATACTAAATAATAAATTACAATCATAAAAGTCCTCAATTTTTCTCAAAATGTCCATTGAAAAGTACAATTTTGTTGTAAAGTCCTTTTCATCGAATGAAAATACTGATTGAAGTCTCTTGATTCCAATAAGTCCACAATATAAAGATAAGCTCACAGATATTATGCACGTTTTTCAATGAATATGGTTCCATAATAATTTTTGAATAGAAGATGTTTAAAGTTTTTGCGGGGAGCATTTTTTTTTTTTTAATATAAAACTTAGAAGATATACAATTTATCCATAATGTATTACGTGCATTCATTCTTCTCATCGTAGGTAATTAACAATACGTTGACATATTTTAAAGTAATTTTAAAATTCAATACAAAACATTATGATATAATTACCTTAAGAAAATAATTCAATATGAATCTCTAATAATATGATGTAATATTTAATGAGACTATAACACCTTGAATAAATTCTTTGGCATGTCCTCTCCAGCAGATCAACATGCTTAGTTTACTGATGGTTGGGGGGGGTGCTAGGTACAAAATATCAAAAATCTTCCGTTGCCTACCAAAAGGTAACTGGTTTTTGGCATTGTACATCGTATCAAAGTGTTTTTGTAAAAATACAAAATTTTACAAAATTAAAATTTAAGACAAATAACTTGTATAATCAAGTTAAAGTCTTTGCTAGAATTTTGGAAACTAGAAATGAATATTACCCTACAACAACAACAACAACAAAAAATGTTACAAAATGTTTGGTTTTTTAAAATTATGTGAAAAATATAAAAGGTCAAGATCGGGAAAATAATTGGTCATAGTTAGGGTTTAGGTCTAAATCTGGTATTAAAAGGTCATAATCAGGAAAATTTTTAATAGAGAATTTTGAAAAATTTTAATTAATTTTGGACGGAGATAGAAATTCTACTAGTTCTAACAGTTAATTTAAATTCACTTGCTTGATTAAAAAGGTCTTAGTTTAGTTGAATGAGCAATTTCTGATTTCTTTTTAGTTAGAGGATTAGGTTTATCAATTTCATAGGTAACTTCAGGATATTGTTTTATAATTTTGTAAGGTCCTGAAAATGGAGGAGAAAGTTTACGTGTATTAGGATATTGAAATTCTTCATACATTACTAAATCACCTGCTTGAAAATTACTAGGTTTATAATGAGTATCATATCTTTCTTTATTTACATTATGATAATCATCAGATCTGTTTTGAGCTATTTTTCTACCTTCTTCTATTGGTGGATATAATTCTTGATTTTGAATTAAGGAATCATAAGGTAATTTTCCATACATTAAGTATTTGATTCCATACTAATGTATGATGATAAATGTATTAAGTAATTGATGGTGGGAATTTTGTTACAGAATGAGGGGTGTTATTATATTCTTCATGTACTTGGGGTAATAATTTTGTTCACGCAATATTACCTGCAACGCAACCTGCAACATTAATTGAATTAGATAATTTTAGCTTATACTGTCCGTTATACATTAAATGCGCACACTCATACGCGCGTAAGTACTAGTCTAATGAGAAGATCCTGAAATTGCGGAAAGTTAATTAGAGGTTGCTTGTTCGCATAGAGCAAAGCATCCTATTTTTTGTATTTTATATAAATATATATATACACACAACACACATTCAGGATGTTTTTTTTTTTTTTTTTTTTTTTTGTTTGTTTAACCTGATACTACCCAGAGCCATCTGTAGCTGGATCTGTTTGTTGGAATGCCACCAAATTTGGTAGGGCCTTAATGACAGCACACTAGAAAAGATTCCTTGAAAAAATTAGTTTTACAAGTCACCAAGAAGGGAAAATATGGTTCTCTTTTAATCTACACATCTGAAAATTTGCATAAAACATGGGTGAAATTTGAAAATGCCACTGTTTGGTTATGTAAACAATAGCAGCGTCAGTAACATAGTCTATAAAGATAAGGGTGGGAATACCAAAGGACATTCCGAATGTTAAGCTGGGTTCAACGGTGCCTCCCTTTACCTCAGTGCACGTTACTTGTAAAGCTGCTTATATTCACCAATTAAAGCATCGCCACTCTTCATGAGTTTAGAAGTCGTAACAACCTTTGGGAAGGTCCTCTATCAATTATACATTGAAAGGTATAATTCAGAATTTTGAAGAAACAGGAGCCTTAGAAGTTCTGTGTGGTAGAGGGTGGAAACCTATGCCAGAACAGACAGTTACTGATATTGCGACTGCAGTCATTAACGGCACCCAGGGGAAATAGCATGACAATTGGGATTTGAATCTTTCGACAGTATGGAAAATCTTGCAGAAAGTTCTTCAGTTCTTCTCCTGCATCATAAGCTGCAAAGAGGAATTAAAACACAAAAATTATGATAAAATTAGACATTTAGACAAAAATGAGTAGCATTTGTCTTTAAAATTCTTGTCAGGATGGAGGTTGTTGATGTTTGGCCATGGAGAATCTGTAGGGAGATGAGGTCCATATTCACCTAAATAGGCTTGTTAACACTCACAGCTCTGAAATTTAAGCATTCGAACAGTCCCACGCAGTTCAGGAAATCCCACTGCATTCACCAAAAGTCACTGTTGGGTAATGCTTCATTGCAGATCTCATCATTGGACCATTCTTTTTTTGAGAAGATTACATTCACACGGCCACAGATCTGTACTGTTACCATGCAAATGTGTCATGATATGTTGACTAGTTTTGTCATTCCACAACTTGAGAAGAGGCAACTACTGTATCAGATAACTTTTGTGCAGGATAAAGCAGCACCGCAAATTAATTTATCAGTATCATGGCTGTTGCACCATCACATTACAGAAGAGAGGATCCTAAGTTGTGTTTTCCCACTTGCCTGGTTGCCTTGCTTCTGGATCTAACCCCCATGTAACTTTTCTTGTGCTGTTATATCTTGGGCGGGGCGCAACCTTGACGACCTTAAAGGGGAACATGTCACGAGTTGTACTGAGCATTCCTGGTGTCACGTTATGCTTAGCTGTCCAAAATGTTTTGTACAGGATGCAGTGTGTAGTCTATGAGAAGGGTGATCACATTATAAGAGGTTTATGCCCTCACTGCAGAAGTGCTTTTATTGAATAAAGTGTTATAAGTCAATGATATGGTGCGTTGAAATATCATTTCTGTAACCATTTTGGGTAGTTCGTTTGCTGCATTAAAGCAGTGTTGCACTGAAATTCCTTTCTTGTTATTCATTTATCTAATTTTCAGCTGTGTAGATTACAGCAGAACCACATTTTTCCCTATTGACGACTTTTTTAAATTTTTCTTTTTCATGTAATTTTTGTCCTCATGTCGTCTTTATCCCTCCTATAGCAGATTTGGTGGCATTTCAGCTGTTAGGTTGAGTTACAGATGATTCTGAGTAGTGTCAGTAAAAAAAAAAAGGGGGAACTCCTTTTATGTATTTCACGTAAGATTCTCTCTCTTAATTGCTGTATTACATATTACGAAGATTCTCTTATAAGTATTACACCTTATGGTTAATCTTAATGCATTACATATTACTCATTAAGTATTGCATGTTACTCTTAATGCTGTATTGCACATTACAATGATTAAGATTCTTTCTTTTAATGGTTATCAAGTGGAGTTTTTGAAATGAATGGTTTTATAGATAAAAGACAGTTCTTTTAGTGTGCTGAACTTCTAATTCAAATTATCCATTTTATATATGTTTTGATTTAAAATTTTTCAAACTTTGAAATATTTTCTTATCTACTCTGTAGAATAAAGAAGACCAGAAAGCAAAACTGTGTGGATATGTTCCATTGCCTTCTGTTAAAGATGAAAATTTTCAAGAAGCTGTTATTTGTAATCTCTTGTGGCAAATGTCCAGTGACCGCAAAACAACAGGTTTAAAAAAAATCCAAGGTTTCATATGGCGAGAAGAATATGAAAAGGGATTTTTAAAGGGCCAGTATGTTTAATATTTGTATTAGAACCTTGAAAATTGTTTTCGGGGATAAATACTATTTGTATTGATTATAAAGTTGTAAAAGTACACTAGAAGTCCAGAAATCCGCAAAGCTTGGGACCAGAGGTTGTGCGGATTGTAGGATTTTTGCGGATTTCAGGACAGAAAAGACGAAGCATAATATTTGGACTAAAAGTGCAAAATAAATAAGGCGTATTGGATACATTTAATTAAATTATTATATACATTATTGCAATAATTTATTATATGCATTAAATTATTATTACATATATAAATTTATTATATTGTTACGAAATGTCAGGTCATGGTAAGGTAGCTTCCCCGCAAAGCAGCTTAGGGTTGCGATAAAATGGCAAGATAAGGCAGGGTTGCCATATTTGGCAAGAAATCGCCCATTTGACGACAAAATTGGTGATATGCCATGGACGGATGGAGAACCTTCTGGAACGAATTCTTACCGGTTTAGTCCAGAATTTTCTCGAACACCAGCTAAAAGCTGTATAAACCCTGCTGATACGCAGAAAGTTAGTATCGAGTTGGTGTTTCGTCTAGCGAGTCAATCTCTGTGGAGTCGATCGCATTGACAGCCTGGCAGCGAGTGCCGAGTGGGTCATCTAGTGCACCGAAAGAGTCTCGTAGTATATCGCGGTTAGTACATCATCGAAAGAACGTGTTGAGCTCTGGGAACGACTGAACCGAAGAGTCAGGAGCTATGCTGTGCGTGTCGTCTAGTGCATCACTAGTTGTAGCGTGGAGAGTACGTGTAGTTCCGAGAACGACCAAACAAAGTTGGGAGCTGTACCCTGGTGCTTTGCAGTGAAGCTGTCTCCACTGTTATTGCCTGACAATGTGAATGTTGTGTCGCTGATTGTTCCAGCGTGTTTATTGTAGATCTTCGATGACTGTAAAAGTGTTTTAGACCTGACCTGATTAATATTGGTAAATAAATTTTGTTTCGATACTTCATCAAGTGTCTTCGTTATTCACTCCAAATCTACGAACCCCGTACGAATGCGAAGGAAGAGAAAAACGCAACAACTGGTGTCAGAAAAAAACGTTACGATATTATTCATTGTATTATATGTACACAGCATCGAGGTTTGCCAATTTCGCCTCATGCAAAGAGTTCCGGTGTTAGAATCACTGTTGCTGTAAAATTTCAACAGCTTTTCTTTATTTTTTCGTATATCATACACAATCGTGTCGCAATTCCATACCGTTTTGCTGTTAATCGAAGAGTAGCACCTGCCTCCATCTTTTGCAGAATTTGCACTTTTTGCGTTACCGTCAATGCAATGTGTTTACGTTTTTCAACGTTGCAAGCAGTAAAATCATGAGTGCGTTTCTTATCTGTCATTTTATTACAAAAGGGCTGAAATTAAAAATATTCTTAATTTATCCACAAAATATCCGGATAAGAAAAAAGGCAGCACTTAAAAATCTCGTGAATAACAAAGCTCAGGAAATACAACATGAATCGGGAATTTGAACGAAGAGTAGAGTGAATCGTCTGCTTTTTTACCTCGATGCAGATTAGAGGGGGAAAAAACTTTTATCTTATTTTTTAAACTTTTTTATGTCAATAATTTGGTATTTCCGTTATGACTTATTATTATTCGGTAATTATGACGTCATTATTCAGTAAGTATTTTTTGTTCTATATTTCATACTCAATGTTGCGGTTTCCGGAACCTATAAACTGAATGTTTATATTTTAAGAGGTAACGCGGATTTCAGGAGTTGGCGGATTTCAGGTCGGCGGATTTTCGGTATTTGACTGTACTTAATACGAACAATGTGCTTCTTTAGTATCAGTTTCTTATTATTTTGTGTGCAATTTTAAAGGTATGTTAGCAGGAGCTAATGCTTTTACAAGAAATATGGGACTCGTGGCAGAGAATTTTATCCGGCAGTCTTTCTATTGAGATGGCATTGTCTGGTGATTCCAGTTTCATCAAAAATGCATCTAGTCAGTTTAGTTCTGATCCAATTAACTTGGGATGACTATGATTAGTCTGATTAGTTAAGTCAAATTGAGTCTGATATGTTGGATCCATGGCTGGCACCATATTTAACCTAACAACAGTGCAATGTAGTTGCAATTAAGACTGATCCCTCCATGCTACTTGCTTCCAGTAGCCAATGACCCAGTTATGATATTCTGTAGCCATATGCAAAAGCTTGAGCATGATGGTGTGCATTGAAAAGTACTCATTTGGGTCTTAGGCTCTTGGAGCCAATGCAGTCAAGGTAGCGCTGCAAAGTTCATCTCCTGATTGTCCGAGTATACCCTTTATTCAGTTGGGGGAGGGGGGAGGGAAGCTGAGCTAAAGTTTGGTGTTTGTGGCTATGTACAATGCTGCTACCTTCAAAAATCATTATCATTCAGGGATACTTTTCCCTACAGATTGCCTGATTATTCTTTTTTCTTCCGCTAATCATGTACTTTTATTATACTCTTGATACTGTGGAAAGAGAAAACCCCCAATTCTCAAATTGTTTCTGAAATTAAATGACGCATGAGTCAAGTACCTATTATTTGCCCTTGATCGGAGGCACAAATTTGACTCATCATGTTATTTCTAGCAATTGTTTTATAAAGGTATACACTTCCAGTTATACATATCCTATGAAAGCGTTTGCACATGTGCTAAAGTGAAAAAAGCAGTGGCACAATAGTTGCATAAACACTGTCTATCCTTAATTCAAGAGCGGTTTAGTATCGAAGTCTTTCTTAATATTTCTGAATAAATATCATTTCCTTAGCGTGTGGCATTTATTTATTTTTCATTTTCATATGCCACTTTTAAACTGTATTTTTGTATTATTGTTGCTTTTGCCTATTTAGAAGTACATAATGTTAAAAAATGAATTAATATATGAATGTAAATAGGTAATCAATTTCTCATGGATTAGCAGATAAATTTAACTAATACCGTTTTTTCCCCCCAACATTTAGGATCATTTTCATACATCCCCCCCCCTTTTTTTTTTTTTTTTTTTTTTTTTTTTTTTGAATGTAGGATTGGCAGACCTTCCATGTTAAGAATGACGAGAGGCCACTGTCTAGGAGCCATCTCCAAATTATTTAGTATTAGTCCGTTTGTTTTCGTCTAGATGAATGGTGATTCCAGTTTTACAGCAATCACAGGAACATTGCCATGAAGCAAAAAACTTACAGAATTCCACATCCCATTCTTTTTGTTTTGAATTCCATGATGCAAATATTTCTGTATTTTAGGCTAAGCAGCTAAATTAATTGCTGTAGCTGAGTGCAAAAGTTTTGCTAAGGGATGTCTTATCTGTTCTATAGTGTTATGCATATAACCTGCCTTCATAAACAGAATTATATCCCTAGTTTTAAAGGATAAAAAAAAGAAAATCGTAGCACATGTGCGAAGGAACAATGTCCACAATGCAAGAGTTCTAAATGAAAGATTCTAACATTCGGAAACTACCTTATAAGAATTATGGATATGACAGGTCTTCTAAGCATTGGGAAATTAAATTCATTAAAATTCTTTTTGAATGTTTCTTTATTAAAATCCAGCTTTAGCCAAGCTGATATATTTAAAAGTTATTCAAAAATTTGCACTTATACTGATACACAGCTACATTAAAAAAGAAGATTCCTTTAAATAATTAAAATTCTGTTTTCTGCCACTACTTTCAGAATAATTCTCGATTCCAAAGATGGGCAGAAGTGAGATAACATCACTTTTCCATTTCTTATGAAATATTTAGTTTTTCAAAATAGGTTTTATGTGTTTAGTGTGTCACTGTGCTAAAAGGTACTATAAATACTGTATATTAATATGCAAAACTTTCAACCAAATTAGACAAAGGCTTCATGATGTTAGATTCTGAAGCTTCTCATGCATAGCAGAGTTAAAAATGTTGACAAAACTCACAAAAATTCACTTAGACTTAAAAGCAGCCAAGTGTTTCTAATGTTTTACAACATGTATTGCTTTTCATTAAGAGAATGAAAGGGTATCCCAGAAAGATTGTCATTAGGAAAAGAAAGAAAATAAGTTAATAGAGTCACTTCCGGAGAATTCATTTATTAATATAATATTTTGGTTGCTGTGTAATCTGTTTTTCATTTGTGTGCATGTTTTCATGTTTCTCAATGTAATGCATTTAATAATCTTTTTATTTTATTTTTTTAAAGTGTGTATGAGGATGCAGTGCAGGCTTTGAATTACTGGAAATCAAATCAAAAAAAGATTTATATCTATTCATCTGGAAGCATTGAAGCCCAGCGCCTACTGTTTAATCACAGTATATGGGGTAATTTAGAGTATGTGAGTTACTTTAAAATTTACTTTGCAGCAAAGTTCCGTAAAAAGCAGATGTAAGCTTCTTTTATTAATTTTGCAATAGGAGAAATATTAAACTTTAAATACAATTTTTTAGAGTTATTCGTATGAAATTCTATTTCTTAAAAATACTCAAATGCATATATGTGGAAATTTATATTTAAAAAAATATGGCAATAATATTTTCAACATCACCGATGAAGAAGGATGCTAAAGAGTAATTTATATCTTAAAAAGTTAGAGAATATGTTGCCATTTAGAATGTTAAACAGCAAACAGTTCTTTTGCTATTATATCATAGTAAAAAGAATGATAAAGGTTTGTTTATAAAGCAGAATAGCAATGTGTCTGAGAAAGTTACAGAAATGAAGGCTACCTCTTTTTTTTTTTTGTCTTAGTAAGTAAGATATCTGAATAATGGTAGTCCTGTTCAGGTCTGAATTTCTGTGGATGAGTTGGCCGCAGGAACATTTTGATGGTTGTTCCTGTGTATAATGGGAATACGAGCTAGTTTCCCTGAAAAATCCTGGAAGGCATCCTTCTTTGGGTAAATAACACTTGTGCTTTGCCATAGCAAGCTAACTGAAGTAAACATCTTCTTAATAAACAGTAGGTAATGCAGTTTAAAGCAATGGGATCTCAATAATTTCAGTAAATTCTGGGGGTGTTATGGCATTAATACATTGTGCTTACTGCAAAATCATGTTCCTCAAATTTGACTTTCTGTCTCAAAAAAAAAAAAAAAAAAAAAAAAAAAAAAAAGGTATAATTCAGTTTAAGAAAGTATGTGCAAATAAACCTAAATATTATTGTAATTAAAAAGAAAAAATGAAGAAAGTGTTTAAAAGCCTTTTTGTTACTGCTTAAAATGTATGTGACGTAATTTTATTTAAAGCTGGTGATTCTGCTCGGGGCACTGTTTAATGCAACTTTATGATCAAGCGCAGACTTTTTCAGTATTATTCATGACGTGTTTTCTTCTTTCTATATTTGAGTCAATCTCCATTGCAAAATCAGGCAGTTTCTGTTCTAACAATTCGTTTAAATTTCTTATAAGTTAAAAGAACTTTATCTTCTACATTGTGACTGCTTTCACTGTTAGCTGGTGTTATAGAATCATGTAGTTCTTTGTTTGTCATTTATTGGTTTATTTTTTTATTTCTTCTTTCATATCTGAAAATACTTTTCCCCCCAACTGCATTTGTAATTTGTGTGATTTCTTTGCTTTCATTTTCAATTGATGAAAATCCTTTCCAGTTGTTAACAGCTTTTGGCCATAGCTAATGCGAGCATACATTCAGTTTTGATGAATGAGCGTTGAACTGCATATGAATAAAATTCTAGCATTGAACAGATTAAATGGAGACAAGGTAACCCAAAACCTTGTTCCATAGATCTGCTCTCGACAAAGAATTATTATATCACTTACTGAAAACATGCAGCTGTATGAAGAGGAATAACATGTTCTATTACCGAGAGCAGAAAATTCTTATTTTCACTGATTGTGCCAGTGCACTTTGTTTGTGTTTCATTTGTTTGAAAAGGTAAGCTGAATTAAATTAATTGATAGAAGAATTATATGGAGCAGGTTATCGTAGAGTTTTTAGAGTGTTATTGGTGGATATCTCATCTAAATCACTGTGTCTCCTGTGAACTGCACTCGGCAGTGACCATATGACTAAAATCATATAAGACAATTATGCTCCTGTGTTTGGTTCCGGGATGTTCCAGACTTTTCTGAAAAAAAAATGTATGAGGCAGTTGATTTAAAAGTGCATAGTAATAAATATAATCAGCTGCGAAAACACTGTAAATGGCACATAGAAGATTGCAAAATATAATACTTGGTGATGTACCACTATTTGCTGATGTACCAAAATTTTTAAATGCTGTATTCTGTGCCTCGAAATGATTAAATTTTGTAACGAAAATAGTAAATGATGGCATACATGTGATATCTTAATCTTATTCATTTTACAATGCATTTTACTCATTTGTACTTTGTCTTGCCAAATGACAAAAGTTGTAGATTAGTACCCATTTAAAAATTATTATCATTGTTGCAGGCTGTAGTGCTACTGATGCTGTAACTAGTGGCTATCTACTATTTTGAAGAAATGTCTGGGCTGGGAGGAAAGCCAATTTGTCGTACAGTCACACAGGAGAACATTAGGTACCTTGGCCTTTAAGGCGTTTCTGCAAGAAATCAGCTAACTGATAATTGCTGAGTGACATATCCTATCCTGGCTATGAAGCTGCAAATTTTGTCAGAAGAGATTTTGTTTCACAGAAATCATGTTCAAGCATTATTCTATATACAGTTTCAAACACAGTACTGGAACTCAACATCCCATGCCCATGCCCTCTAATGGCGATCCAGAATCGTTGTGGTATTTGGCAGTACCTCTGTGATAGAGGAGTCATGACAGAAAGGAATTTAATAATATCACACCCCTTTCATACCTCTTTCGATCAGAGTTAACAAACAAGTCCATAGTACAACTTTAAGACCTGTCATTTCATTATTTTACATGAGCCCTGTGCGATCAAGATTTTTTAGATGACTCCAGATCCAGAGGAACAAATCAGTGGAAGATAAGTTGGCTGATCTTGATGGTAAAAAAAAAAAAAAAAAAAAAAAATCATTCATTACCATGTCATATGCTTATCTCTTTCGTACTTTAAATGATATAGTAGAAAATTCTGTTTATCAAATTGAGTTTATTTTGGTTGAGAAGTGGCCTTTTTCTGCTTAAGAAATAAGTAACATAGAGACAGAAATGTTAACAAATAATGAAAAGAAAATTATCACATGCTAAAGGAAGCAAGCAAAATGTTTGAAAGTTACAAGAATTTAATATTCTTGTTAAGTTTTAATTCTTGTCTCTGTTATTGCTATGTTTACCAAACTTCAATAATTATTAATAGCATAAAGTTGAATGTCTGATAATATGAATTTTCAGTGAAATATTATTTGCACTTGAACAAGCATTCATTTAGCATGTGTGCGTTCAAGGGTGAAGTTCTTGCTAGTTGGCAAGTTTCCTAGCAAATAGGTTTTGAGCATTCCATTATGTGATGTGTGTGACATTTTGCTGAATGAACTAGATAAGTCCTTTTAGATTTTATATTGCTGCCCTGTTTGGTATCTAGATTAGCTGAACTGGCTGCCACGTCATTGGATTCGGGTTCGTAGCCTGGAGAAGATACGGATGTTTCAGTGTGTGACCCCTTTTATTCAGATGAAATATCTGTCGCCCTTTTTAGTACTTCCTTTGCAATGCTGTTGCTGAAGAGATAGTTAATTTATTGAAGGGTTTGGCAAATCCCTATGAGTGCTTAGTGTGCAAATGTCTGGCCATTGGATTAAAAAAAATTATATTACATTTTAGTTCCCTTAATGACTGTTGACTATGACAGAGATGCTGCAGAATGTTGACATGATGTTAAACTTTAATCTCAAGTGGAGACATTATCAGAACGTTATTCTTTCTGTACTGCATAAAATGTCACAAACCTTCAAGTTGCTGTATTGTTAGGCTTGGGTTGAGTTATTTGAATATGGCAAAGCACACAAGGCCTATGTGCCTTCATGAAGAAATTTCTGAGGGAAACTGGCTCGTATTCATGTTGAATTTACATATTCACATTGAATTGTTATGCATGGGGGAAATCATGAAAACCAGCCATGCAGATGCACATTTTGTATCAAAAGAATTTTGTCCCAGCATTAATGATAATTTTTTTCAAAGGAAAATGTTTTGGGCATCTGCATTGTGTTTACTTTAGGGTTATGTTATGTTATGTTTTTTTGTTTGTTTGTTTGTTTGTTTGTCTGTTTGTCACATTTTGTGATGTAGGAAAGTAACAAAAAATTTCTGCACTAATCAAATGCATGTTTTCTCCAATATATATATATATATATATATATATATATTGGGGAAGGGGTAGGTGGGGTGGGAAAGATGTTCAATATCTTTCCCTTTGGAGGGAATCTTTTTTTAATTGCTTGTATGCACAATTTTTATTTTTATTTATTACGTAATGTATACTTATTACACACGTGGATAATTATTTTATGATTATTATATACTGTATCCACAAAAGTTTACCAGGCCTCTATTTTCACAACCGTTGGCAGTAGACATGTACTTCCAGTTACAAAAATGTTTTAGATGGTGGAGACATTCATGTTTTCGTATTTTGAAAATAAAGAAAAATTATGTAAAATATGAAATCTAACTCTTTATACATTCTTAAGATACATTACTGGCCATTAAAATTGCTACACCAAGAGGGAAAGAAAATAGCAGAATCTTATTGTACATATAGAGTATATTGGTTGGAAGACATTAAATTTGCTAATGGTTTGGGGTATATAGCATATAGGAATCAATACAGAGAGTTGCCGCTTCTGGCAGCTTGTATCAAGCTGGTCATCGAGTTGAACTGACCCTGGATAACAGATCCTTCCTTGGATACAACTTAAACTCGCTGCCAGAGTTCATTGGTCGTAGTGGCTGATGAGTGATGGCGTGCCAGTCTCTCGTCAATTCATGACCATATGGTGAAAGATCTGGAGAATATGCTGGCCAGTGGCACAGTATAACACCCTCTTTATTGATTAAGGTTTAGGACATCATGGCAGCCTGGGGTCGTGCATTATCTTGCTGAAAGATGGCATTGTGCAGGCCTCGAAGATAAGGTTCAGCCGTGAGCTTTAACACATGTGTAATGTGGATGTCTTATACGTCGGTAATGTGGCAGCTGTTCACATTATCAAATATGCAACCAAGAGGTGACGAGATGCATACCTATTGACCCCGGGAAAACATGCTAGATGCTGAGATGACAAATGCAAGTTGGCAACATTCATTCTCCTCGATGCCTACACATACAGATGCGTCCATCATGATGCTGTACACAGAAATATGATGGGGAGCCACATCTGTGCAGTGTAGTCATTCATTGCACCACTGCAGACTACCTTGTCTGTGCTGCAGCTTATAGGGAATTTGCAACAGTGCTTACTGTGCTGACATTCTCTGGTGCTTCAGATGTTGATTCGTCGCACTGTCTGTGCATACAGGCTAAGTTTCTGATGGGGCATTGAGATCCTGCATAGTGTCCAGTATGGCCCTCCTGGACCCTGGATTCTAGATTCACCTGTCACTCATGTAATCCCAACTAACAATGAGCAGCAATGTCACAAAACAATAAACCACAGCTTCAATATGCTACGATCCGTCATCCCACTGCGACTGTGCTGCTATGGGATAAGCGGGATTTTGAAGCCAATAAAATGACTTCTCTCTGCATTCAATATCCACTTAACAACAATTAACTTCAACCCAAATCTTAAATCAATTAGCATATGTAACAATGACGACCTCTGTACTAATTTTCCCTTCCTACTTTTGTAATCTTAATGTAACTGTTAAATTTTAAATGTGATTGATATCACAAACAAGTCTGTTACAAAAATTCATCAAATTTTGATTGCTTTTGTTTATATTTCCTCCCACAAACTTCTACTGCAATGTACTTAATATGCAGTTTGAACTATTTCTTCAAATATCATGTGGCAATTAAAAACCTGAGCTTATACCCCAGAAAAAGAAGTATAAAATTTGTCATTATGTACCAGAATATCCAATACATGGTCAAATTACGACGCATGTTTCTTGGAATTTCTCCTTCTTGTATAATACCACATTTACACAAAAAAGCAGCATTTAAAATATGATTTTGAAATGCAAAACTGCCTATGCAATCTTACAATTTGTTTATAATGTAGATGATGTTTCTCACACCTCCTTTGTGCTCATATGCTAGAATGCTAATCATTTGCATATCCGAACACTTTTCATGCAAATTTAACATTTAGTGCACTTCACCGTCATGCTGAGCGATTTTAATGGCCAGCTGTGTATTTAGGAAATATGACAAAAATTTATCAAGATGTTTAATTGCAATATTTGCTGTCATTTTAAATTCACATTCACTTAGTAAATAAATTTAGATAATTTGAGATTGATCCTGTACCTTAAATACCATTCAGTGATATTTTTATGTGATTTACTTGTGTCTTTAGTTTATACTTCTGTTGCATTTTATATACAGAAAGAATTTTCTCACAACAAACAACAAACAACTTATAAGTCTAAAATTATGTTATTAATATTCTTATGAAGTTTTGTTACTTTAATATCATAATCTGGTAATCATACAGAAAATTCATTAAAGTACAAATGTTTTTCACATTTAATTAATGCAAATATCATGAATCAGCTACCTGCCAATGTTTTCTAGAGTATTAATTCTATAAAATTCTGTGAATAAGATCTCCATTTTTAAAAATTTATCTTGATCAATATTTTTCACAATAATCTGCATAGAAATAAATGTTCATCATGTAATCTCTAAGTATTGGAAATTTTATTTTTAGTTATGCACAAATCCAAATATTTTTCTCTTCAGTTTGGGTACGGCCCCTTGAATACAATTCCTGAATTTAATATCAAATATCTTGGTCAATTCTTTTTGCGCTGGAGTCAAACTCTTTTGATAACAAGTGCCAAAATTTTCTGTAAATAGAAGTATAGAGACTGGAGAAATGTGTAAAATGTTAGATTTCATATTTTGTATTTTTAAGTTTAAAAATATGGAAACATGAATCTTCGTGTCATTTAAAATGTCTACGGCCAACAATTATCAATATAAAAGCCAAGCAAGGGCACTGTGTATTATTTTGCATTTCACAAATAGGTAGATATGGTTAATTTTAAATTGCTTGAAAAGCTTCATAAGTGGTGGGTGTTTTCAAAGTGTTTGTTTTTAGTATCTTACTAATTGCAAAATATTATCTGTAACCATTTTATCAGCACAGTTTCTTCTGTTGCAGCTTATTGATGGAAACTTTGACACAACAATAGGTTCCAAGACCGAGCATTCCAGCTACAGTAAAATTTGTGAAATTCTTTACTATGAACCACAAAATGTGTTATTTATTACTGATCGGCCCAAAGGTAAATTAACAGGTTTTTATTCATTTGAATTATGGTTACTTTTTATTTTTTATTATCAGAAAATCCAGTACAAGTGAATATTAACTATCCACATGATATTTCATGCAGTCAGATTTCTTTTATGATTGCATCGTCATTGATATGTAAATAATTTTTTTGTAGGCAGTCATGTATATTTCTTCTCTAAATGTATACAGACAAGAGAAGGTAACTTCGAACAGTTTAATAGTAAACAAATTAAAATGTTCAATGTAAAAATTAGCACAAATAAACAAGAAAATATCTGTGACTTAAATCTTGTTGGAGCTCAGTCCAGCTTTGCTAAATTATTGCTGTGTTGATGAACATAGCAGAAGCTGCAGTGCTTCACAAGAAAACTAGACCAAAAGAAGAAAGGTAGGAATTGGAACAGGTTTATCTACATCTGTGGTAACTGTTGCAGAATCACCAACAAGATAACTATGCAGGAAAATTTTAGAAGCTTCATCAAATTTATAATTGAGAGGAAAATAAGTTCTGGAAGTAATTTTGGCCTCTGAAACTGGAAAGTTGAGAGCTAATCACAGTGGTAGGATGTTATGGAAGACCTATTAATTTCCTTATGTTTAATGCACTGGGTGAGCTTCCTTATCCTGAATTTTATCCTATATATGCCAAGCTGCATTCACAAGGAATTTCTAGATCTTCCATGAATAAAGATACAACATTTCGTTTCTTAATGCTGAAAACTTGGTTATATTCACAGGTTTAAAGGAAAATAGAATACCGTACAATTTGGAGAAAAAGAATCATTGGCAGATAAACAAAATGCTCTGAAATATCCTTAGTTTGAAGATTTCAAGCTGGAAAGGATGAATGTCTGGAAAATTTCTTATAGGCTTTCTTATAGATATTGATGATGGTAGAATTATAAACACAAGAGACAACAGCATTTTTCAGAATATTAAAGTCTTTTGTGAAAGATGAAGCAGTAGAAAAAGTATCAGTTAGTTGTTAAAGAAATTATTTTCTTAAATTAAATTGCAAAATGAATTATTAGTACTTGTTTAAATGAATTGCACAATGGTGCAAGGTAATGGTTTTTTTAAAAAAATTATTTATTTATTATTATTTTGTCACTTAGAGTCCTCAAGAAGGCTTCTCTTTCCTTAGGCAGACAGCCATAGAGTGCTTGACTGTAATTTAACAAATCCAACCTATAAAAGTATACCTTGATAGTGTAACTTTTCAGAATTCAAGGATGATATAACAATACAACAAATTGTTTTTTTTTTTATTATTATTATTATTATTATGGTGTAAATTTAAGACTAGACTATTGATGTAAATTTAAAACAAGTATAACCAAATGCCAAATGTATTTATGAATATTGAAAAATAATTATTTAAAAGAATGTCCACACAAAGTAAGAAATGCTGCTGATATAAAAGTATAAATTTTTTAAATTGATGAAAATTTTATTATGTTCATTTTTGAGTAAAAATTAAAATCATTGTAAATCACATTTAAATAAACAACTATACATTAATATTTCCGTTGATATTGTTTTGTAATAATGTAGTAATTGTTTTAGGTAATCTTTCCACGGATTTTATCTTAGCATTTTTGCTCAGATAAAAACTTTATTCTCTCGTGTGTGCACCTAAACCTCTTAGTTCTCTTAATGAGATACACAAATTAAATAACTTTTTATGACTTAAAATGGTGTTCCAGTTAAGAATTCTCAAAATTTCTCCAAAAAGATGTATAGGAATCTACTCATTTAAAAATATGTAATGGTAATAAAAAAATTGTTTGAACTACCAGGAATAATCTTGCTATTGCTGTAAAATCAATTTCAAAATGTGATGTGAATTTTTCTTTTTCAACAGATAAATGATGTGCAATGCTTTACGTGTCATATTTCTGCAAAATGAAATATCGGGTTTTCACAAAAGTTTTCCACCAGCGCAAATATCGTCTGCTCAAACAGTTCGTATTGCCGTGTTTAATCATATTTTGCCAAATGATTTTTGGCATTTGAAAGAAAGAGACTTGCTGTAAAAAAAAAAAAAAAAAAAAAAAAAAAAATTGTTATCATTGAGTACAAGGTGTCTGAAATGGAACTATCACACAACCAGTTTAGAACCATCATTTACTTCCAGAGCTGTTGCAAAAAGGTGCTGTGAAAGTTTGGTACCCAAAGTACAGTAACAAGGACTATCACATTCAATAAGCAGAGCACTCTGGCCGGCCTACTGATGTTGAGGTCCGCTTGTGCGAATTTTTTAAGGAGATCAGTATGCAACCACTTGAGGCAGTGGCATAGCTAGGGTGGGGCAAAGGGGAACATTTGTTCCTGCTCGCAGCATCCAGGGGTTGCCAAATTCGTTTTATGAAATTTTAGAATGAAATGTTTCCGCTCTTGGCACATAGAAAGGGGCACAAAATCTTCAGTTTTTCCTGGGCGCTGAAAATCCTAGCTACGGCTCTGACTCGAGAGCTTGTTAAGGAGTTAGATATTAGTGCCATGTCGATTGGTCGCGCTATGCGTAGCATAAACTTGACGTACAGTTTCAATCACTGGGTACCGCATGAGCTGGCTCAAGCAGATAAGGACAGACGTGTTTGGGCCTGCACTAATCTGCTCGAATATCAACGCAAGGACAAAATTCTGGACCGGATCGTCACTTGTGATGAAAAGCGGATTTACTTCAACAACACAAGCTGAAAAGGGGGTTGGTCTGTGCCCGATGAGCCCGTCGGCAGGTTCGCAAAGTGCAGTTTGACTAACAAAAAAAAAAAAAAAAAAAAAAAAAAAAAAATCATGCTTTGTATTTGGTGGGATTGCTTTGGCATTATCCACAAAGAGTATCTGGAAAAAGTAAAGTTAAATCCCTTGACAGCAAGGTGTATAGCGAGATGCTAGTTTGTGTCGACACTGCTGTCAAGGAAAAAAGTTGAACTGAATTCCGCTCTGCAAAAAGGTAACGTTTCACCAAGATAATGCAAGACCAAAAGTGTTTGCATTCTCCGGTTAAACTCTGTACAGACATGAATGGGATATTTTGCCACACCCACCACATAGTCCCAACATCGCTCCTTCACACTTATACCTTTTTATTCATACCTGCAGCTTCATCTTGCGGGTTGCAAGCAGTTTACAAACTGTCTTCCATTCTGCACAGGACGTCTGAAATGAGGTTGATCTGTTTTTGCACTTGCAGCCATGAAGTTTTTGGGTTGAAGGCGAAAAACTACCTAAACATTGGCAGAAAAATACTAAAGGTACTGCTTTCATGTTTTTTTCCCTATCTCTATTAAGAACGTTTTTTTGGTGGAAAACTTTTGTTACAACCAGATATTTTGACATATATTTATTTTCTTTTCATTCGGTGAATTCATTAATTAGTATTAAAATCAGGATGTTTATGTGTGAATGATTTGTATATTTCATTTTGATTTTTCAATTAGGTGATTAGTCACACATGCTATGCATATTTTACAAAATGTTTCTTAACTCTGTTATGATTCTTTTGTATAGTGTCATTGATTTATTTATTTTTCAAATTCCTGTCATTTCATTTAAATTTCATACATAGTTGTTGACATATGTTATACGTGATTTGTTTTTCAGAAATATTTGCTGCTAAAAAATCTGGAATGAATGCTATACTAATAAAAAGAGATCCAAATCATTCTTTACTTGAAGAAGAAAAGGATTATATAGGATATGAGGATGCATCCATAACTACTTTTGCTGACTTAATGGAAGATAACTGATCGTCAGAATCTGTTTAATTATATATTGTGTATATCATTTTATATATATAATATCTTTATGCTGTATCCAGATTTTCTGCACCTTTATAAATCTTGCAATTTATCAGCTTTCTGCTTAAATGATTTAAATGTATTATTTACTGTGAAAATGTTTAGTTTTGTTCTCTCCTTGCAAGAAACACTTTTCCTTATCATTAAAAAATTTGAGGCCAAAAACAGTGTGCATGTGTCATATATTCTTTTCAGTTTTGATGTTTCATGCATGATGTTCATACATGCAGGCCTTAAATCGTAAAATTAGAAATAGTGTACCCCCGTGAAAGGTCATTAGGAACAGTGAACATAGATAAATAGATAAAGCAACAAATAATGATAAATTAAAATTAAAAAATTCCGTTAAATTAATGTCAAACGGATGTATCATAAATTAATAAGGTAATGCACCATAAAAATTAAATGAAATAAAAAACAGCTGAATTAATAGTGATAAATACTGGCAATTAATTACCTTTGATTGTCCAGTAGAACCAATATGAATGAACAGTAGAAGTGCGAAGTTGTAAACAAAGTATTTTTAAATAATACTGATTCCAATTTCAGTGTACATTAGGTTTGCCTAAATGTGCAGTTATTAAAATAATTAGTAGAGCGCCATTAAATGTTTGTTCAGAAGTTGCATAATCTCATACTGCGAGTTCATATTTAAACTGAGCAAGCATCTAAAACATATTTATTTATTCATTAAAGCCTGGCTTTTGGCACTTAAACCGTTAGATGTCTTGCTTTTCAATACTGTTAGGTTGCACAATTAAAACCATTAATTAAGCATATGCTTGAATGTTCTTTGTTCATGAATTACTCAGTGTCATAAACAGAACACACGAGAGAATTCCCAAGTCTGATATAAACAGGGTTCGTACGGTCCTTAAAAGTCCTTAGATATTTTTGGTCCTTAAAAGTCCTTAATTTTGGCCAAAATCAGCAGAAGGTCCGTAATTTTAATCATCTGAAATTTCTGTCTCTTTTTACGACCGCCATTTTGAGTGTGAATTAACATTTTGGAGGAATATTTTTGTCAATTCAGTGACATATGTGGTTATCTTTTGAATGAGTTCATGAGTTATAATTTGTTTGTATTTTTAATATAAATGATGGATACTCGAGTTTCTAAGCAAGAAGTGAAACATAAGCATTTTGAAATTAATTTTTTCTAAAAAAGAGCTCTTAAACAACTTTTCGCTTTTGGGGATGCGAATTATTTTATTAAACGGTTCTAAATTTGGCAACTTATCAACATTTCGGCGATTTTAAGATCAGTTTCTATAGAAAATTTTTAATTCTGAATTTTTCGACGATTGTTTTTTAAACATCGTAACATTAATAAATTTCATGAAAATAATGGTAATATGTTGAAATTATATTAAAAAAATAACATTAAAATAAAATATTTTTATTTTTCGCTGTCGTATTATAAAGTTTCATTTTGGCAACTTATAATACAATATTTTGAATTTGAAAAACTAACAAGATATAATGCTATAAAGCACAATTTACAAAACAGCAAAAGCAAAATTAGCTAAGTAATTAATTAAAAAGGTTAATTAAAGGTGCCTTTTAATTTTTTTCATAGTAAGAGTTTTTCCCATGCAATTGTCTCAATTTTCAAAATTCTCAGAATATGCATGTTTTCTTTATAAAATTAATTTTACACTTTTCTCTCCTTTTTTTTTCCAAAATATTTCTGGCTTTTTGCTGTTACAGTATGTCTCCATGGTATCAACACGTAATGGATGTACACTGCTCAAAAAAAAAAAAAAAAAATGGGACAGTGCTATATCTCCCGTTCTACTGGGGCGATTCACGAAATTCAAATTGCGTTCTTCATGTCTCGAAAGCGCGACTTAGGATATATATTAGATTTATATATAGCGCTATTCTAACATAGGTATTTTGACACAAAATCGGACTTTTTCTGAAATAAAATACCAATTTTTTTCCATATTTCGATTCTACGACTCAAATTATGCCAGAATACCAAGTTTTGTAAAAATCGTACGAGTAGTTTTTAAAATATTAGCTCTCAAAATTTTAGCTCCTCAATGTTAATTGAATTTGGCAAATATTTATTAATATCTCTTTTTTTATTAAACTTTTTTGATTTTTCCTTTCACATTTCGAAATTTAGGTTCATTCCAAATAAAATTTACCTATTTTTTGTGTTCTATTTTTTAAATTTCTATTTTTAAAAATTTTTTATAAATTTTTCGAAAAAAATTTTGAATTATAACCCATAAAAGTTTTACCATCATCTTAAAGTAGGTGTATTTCTAAGCATATCTGCAAAAAATTAGACTTTTTTATTCAAAATTTTCTAAGATATACACAAATTTACATATTTTCACGTTTTGAAATTTGGCATCTTTTTTTGAGCGATAATAACGCCAAATATGGTCTATGGATTTTTGAAACAGCGAATTGCCACAGCTATTTTTAACCTTAAATTTCAAGTAAAATTTTACGGAGAATTAATTATATGACATTTTTTCCCTCAATGATGTGTAATAAATATTTATTAATACTATATGAAAAGCTATTTTTTTAAATTGTAGATGATATTATTCAAATTTTTAACTATTTTTTTTTTTTAAATTTCTCTCTTTCTTCTTTTTTTTAAAAAAATAAGAGTAAATTTTTACCTTTGGCGTTTTATCGTCTGCTACTTTAATTTAACTTCGTTTAAATCGAATTGTCTAAAACTGAGAACTTTCGTTTGATGTTTTATTTGAATTTTACGAAAATATTTTATGACATTAACTGCATAATCTATTTCTAAACAAGCTATTGCTTATGAAATGACTGAAAGAGCGGATGATACTATCATCCATATTTTTAAAGCACAGTATATTTTTATAGAAACATAAGATTTAGAATAATCATTTTTATAAAAGTCAAGCTATAATATAAACATACAACCCTCTAGACACCGAATAAATGGAAGTTCAGTGGTTATGTAGAAATAATCTGCAGCTACTTAATGGCTGGATAAGTCAGAAGGTTCTGTAAACAAGTAAGAATAATTATATAAAAGACACCCAAATTTTGGATTCAAATAACAACGAGGGTACGATGTTTATTAAATGAATTTAAGAAGTTTTTAAACATAAAAAAATAAACTCATTTTTTATACTAAAATGTATTTTTATGCGTAGCGTATTTTCATTATATCCTTAAAATTCTATTTTAGAATGTAATTGTCAAGAACTTAATTCTAATCATCAGTAATATAATAAGTAATTATTACGGTTATTAATAAATCCTTCTTATAAAGTAATTGCAAATATTTCAAAAAACTTTCTGTCTGAATGCAAGTATTTCTAATTGTATATTAATCAGTATTGCATACGATATTATTTATGTGCACTTCAGTTCTTACCGTCAGTTCTAGTAGAAGTTACAAATCAATTATATTTAATTAACTTAGATGGTCATTCCTTTAGAAACAGCAATTCAATTATTGGCGCCGTATCTTTCATGTTACTCCCGATTGGCAGGCTACATGATTTTTAATGAGTATTCGGGTTTTGCTAGTAACTTCACTTGGAAATCGCTCTTAAACTAAGTTAGTTGGTTATTTGAACATAGAAAGAACATGGGAGCTATTTGATTAAGATGCTTTCATAGAGAACCTTTGTAAAGAGGAACCCACCATGCAGCCTGGGTTAGACTTCGCAACAAACAATTAGTATTTAACAATCTTCAAATGCTAGGCAACTGGTGAGGCTCCAATTTAATATTTTATTTGTAAATATTTAAAATATTGTTGTATCCTTAGACACAAAAAGCAGAATTTAAGTTTTGTTAACTCGTTAGTAAACTACCAAGCCGTAGTGCAAATGAATATGCAATTTCTTTTGCAATAATTGTATTCACTTAATATTCTTGGAATAAGAGCTAAAGAAGGAACGTTCTCGGAAGATTAAAGAAGTGTTTAAATCCAGTGATATTAGGTTTGTCTTACAAGCTCAGGATCAAAACGATTCTGCAATTGCCCGAGTAGGTGACTTGTAAATGGCTGTGAATTAAGCAGATGACTTTTAATCTTGTGCTATTCAGTCAGAAAACGTATTCCAAATGTTTTGTATTGCATGACAATGCATCTTTTCATTATTCAATAACCAGTCGGAGAACCGCTTGTGTTCCGAAAATAAGTATGTGTACTTAATCGTCCCTGCATGTTCTTCAAATTTGTCTTCTTGTGATTTTTTTCCTTTCCCCAAAACTAAAGTTGCCTCTCAAAGGAAAGTTTTTTTGACATTGAAGAGACAATAGTAATCTACTTTTAGAGGCATGTCAAAAACAGATCTCTACAAGCCTTCTCTTCCAATACATGTTGTGCAGTCAGACAAAAAGTTGCATCAGCGTAAATTCTATAATCTATATTTATTACACTCTGATTACTTTATTAACATACAGTGAATATATACTAAATCGTTTACTTCAGCTTAAGTAATTCGGAATTGTTGTCGAAACTAGGACTTAGAAGATAAGTTAAATTAAATATTTCGAACCCAATAAATTCAAGGTCGAAGTTTCAATATTTTATTTTCGGAGGGAGGGGAAATTTTTTCAGTTTTGGTCCATTATCCTAAGTATATTTGCTTCGATTCTTTATTTTTCCATAAAAGCCAAAAATTTATGCATGGCTTCAAATTAAAATTTAATAATATACAGAGTGGTTATAATTAAAGTTCCACATTGAAACGGTCATAAAAGGAAAACTACTGGATCAAATCTTATCAAACTTGGTAATCGTGTAAAGGAGGTCATGGGAATTTATTTTCTGCGAAATAAAGGAAGTTCGAAACCTCACCACCAGGGGGAAATGGCACTGTATGCAATATTATTAAACGAAATATGGGTCGGAATCTAACTTAACCTTTTGTTACACAGGGTTTAATATGTTGTATACTCTTAAGAAACTTTGAAGTAGGCAAATCACCATTTAAAAGCGTTAAATTCGATAAAAGTCGAGTGCGCCATCCGTGTAAGTGAGAAATTCGTCCGTGAAAACCACGATTTAGCGATTCGAAAATGTGAGATCGCAAATCTGGAAATCGTTTTCTTACAGATCGTTAATTTGTAATTTTTGAAGCCTGAAATCGGCCCTAAAACATGAAGATACTGATTCAAAACGCTTTTAATCGATTTGGGCCAAA